CTTGGAATATTGTTATGGTATTAACCTGGCCTAATGTCACTTTAAACCCAAATGTACAAGAGATAGATTTTACATAAAAGCCCTATTTTCTGTTCTTACATAACAACTAACTTACCAAATGGTCTATGAAATATCTTTTCCAAATAATAGATATTTTACATTAAGGTTACAAAAACAAATATCTTGGATATATGCTTACTATGTGTCAAATTTTTAAAAGAAAGTAATAATGACTAAATTAAACAATAACATTATTTCAGTTAGCAAAAGGTAAGAGGAACCCTATCTTACATGGAAACTAAATAGCAATTCACTCCTCTTTCTTACCATTCTACAAACCAACCACTTACATACATATTTCTACTATCCAAACATATCTAATTAGCAACATTGTTAAGGGTCAGTGTCTTCAATTTTCAAACAAGATGACTGGCTGAGTCTGTGTCTCAGATAAAGTGTTAAGCACCTGACACACATCTTCTCTTTTATACCTTAAAATAATTCCAAGATAGGTAGTATTAGCATCCTCATTTTACAGACAAGAAATAAGAATTTGGGGTGGGGTAGTGAGGTAGGGTGGTTATTTGCCAGGATGCAAGCCCAGACAGTGTGACTCTCGAGCTCTGTCTACTAGCCACTGCTCCCTTCTACTGTGTCTTGTGAGTTTATTCATGTCATAATCTACCTTTATTAGCATAACATTAAATAGAAATGTTAAGTTTCCAGAACAGGGATTATCTATATTTAATCATGTACATAATCAATGTAACTGATCAAAATGGTAGTTGTAGACAGATGTTAAGTAGTAATGATCTTATACATATTGTATATTAGGTGAGCCCCTAAAATTTTTAGCTGATTAAAAATGTGACTTAAATAAAAAAAAAAAATCACACATTTCGTCAAGTTACTTACAATTAATAAAACTGCTAATAGACTTACCTCAATCAATTTGTTGGCATGTTCACGGAAAACTTGGGCATACTCTTTAACTTCTTTCTCATTTCCATTCTTTGCAGCTTCAATCAACACTAAAAGTGGAACGTTGGTTTCCAGGAATGAATCTGACACATGGTCCATGACAGCTTTGCGAAGCTAATAATTAAATTGCAAAAATTTGATTTTATTCTCAACAAAAAGGTATACTGCTTATTTCTCTTACACTTTTAAATCTAATTGAAGCTTATGATAGCTTCACTGCACTTATATGAGGACCCCTCCCCCCAATGTGATCCATTCAGATATATAATCTGCAACATAGGAAACATGATTGTGGAGATAAAGGTTTATACCAAGCATGTCAAACTCACAGCCCATGGACCGCATGCAGCCACAATTAATATTTTTTTTCAAACCAGCCAATATAACAGTATGTAAAAAACATTTTAATAAAAATTTCGTAACTTAATTTTTATAATATCCTGCTATACATAATCCTATCTAATAAAAGGGTAATATGCAAATTAACCACCACTCCGCTACACCCACCAGCCACCCGGCGATAGAGGAAGCCAAGCTTTCTGCCTGCCCTTGCCAGCCTAGGCCTCTGCTTAAGGCTAAAAAGTTTCAATTATAGAAAGTAAACAAATCCAAACAGAAATGGCGGCAGCCACAGAGCTGGAAAGAGCGGGATGCTAGGGTTGCCCATGGAGATAGAGGAAGCCAAGCTTTCCGAATCCCCAGGCCTGCCCAGGCTTCTGCTTAAGGCTACAAAGTTTCAATGTACAAGATAAATAAATTCTAGATACCAGGGCCTCTGCTTGCGTCGCCAGGGAGGGGTGGGGGAGGGTGTGGCCGGCCTGCATACCACTGCAGGCCCCTTGCCCAGGCTGCCCTACGTCCCAAGGGAACTCCCACCCTAATCCAGGGCAAACCAGCCATCCCTGACCTGTGCACCAGGCCTCAATCTTATCTAATAAAAGAGTAATATGCAGATTGACCATCACTCCAACACACAAGATGGTTGCCCCCATGTGGATACAAGGTGATCACCACAAGATGGCCAGCAGGTGAGGGCTGTTGGGAAGGACCAGGTCTGCTAGGGAAGGCAGTTGTGGGCGATAAGGCCAGCAGGGAAGGGCAGTTGGGAGGGACCAGGCCTGCAAGGGAGGGCATTTGGGGCAATCAAGTCTGCAGGGGAGGGCAGTTAGGTGTGAGCAGGCCAGCAGGAGAGCAGTTAGACATCAATCAGGCTAGCAAGGGGGTGATCAGGTTGGTAGGTAGAAGCAGTTAGGGGCAATCAAGAAGGCAGGCAGGCGAGCAGTTGGGAGCCAGCAGTCCTGGATTGTGAGAGGGATGTCCAACTGCCTGGTGGGATCAGGCCTAAATGGGCAATTGGACCTCCCTCGAGGAGTCCCAGATTGGAGAGGGTGCAAGCTGGGCTGAGGGACACTTACCCCCTGTGCATGAATTTCATGCACCAGGCCTCTAGTTATTAATAACAAACTACAATTTTCACTAATGACTGATTGCTATAATTGTGTTGCATTCATTTCCCTTATGTGCAGGCATACCAATTCTCTCCACTAATACTAGCAGTGATTATTTTAGCAGCTGATTGCCACATCATTAATCTTGAACTGACTTGTTTTGTGTGTGCAACAGAAATATTTCGCTTTCAGAGAACAAGAAAAATACTGTAGGTTTATTTGCATTACGCTTATTAATTTGTGCAGTTATTCAGTGTCTAGTAAATTAATGTTCAAGAAAAAAATATTAATTTTTACTAAAATATTCTATTATTTTATGTTAACAATTACTCATTAATTCCAGCCCTTTGTATTCAGCATGTTTCTATCGAAATAAACCTATGTTCTTATGAAAATGAAGCTTTTTTTTTTTTTTTTTTTTTTTGTGGCCCACATAAACTTAAACCTGGTTTATTTGGCCCGTGTTAGTATTCGAGTTTGATATGCTTGGTTTACAATACAGTTACAACATTCCAGCAGTTCTCGCTGCCATCTTTGAGGGTGGGGCAGTCATTAGAATATTCCCTCTTTATTATAGGATTTCACCCCCTTGCAACAGAATATACATTCTTCTCAAATGCACATGGATCATTGACAAAGATAGACGACATGTTACAAAACAAGTCCCTACAAGTTCAAGAAGATTGAAATCTATGAAGCATCTTCTATAAATTCAACCTTACCATTTTAAAGAGTAAAAATTAATTTGATTCCAAAATATTAATCGAATTATTTAACTTTAAGAAGTTCTTTCCTCTATACCCACTGTGTATCCTGGAAATACATCTCCACAAAGGATCTAAAGAAACTGTGAGTGTGTAATCAGAATGGGGCAAGTCAGAAAATAACTGCAATTTGTCTTTACTAATATGTGAGTATCACGAGATCCTTCAGGGTATTTTCAGTCCCCCAAGTCATTTTAAATTGATTTTATTATTTGTACATTCTTTTCACACTAGAGCTAATTTATGCAGTCCATCCCAGTGGGACCATATTAGTCCAGGTCCCTGAAACATTTGCTGAGCCATTTAGAAGCATATGAGCAACAAAACAGACAGAGATAGTCAATTTCCTGTGAAAAGCAATTCTTATCCCTAATAAAATGTGAGCAGGACCTGTATTCATTGAGATTTTAACAAAAACTACAAAATTGAAAACTTGAGGAAGCAACTGGAAGTATTTGAGGAAGTACTTTCTTTAGCTTACCTGTCTACGCAGGTCCCTGGTCTTCTTGGTCATTTTATCTATTGCAGAGTTGAGTGCATCACTTCTTTCTTTACGTCCAGCCTGGAAAAGAAAGAAAGAAATGCACCTTTTAATGATTCACAAAAAATTTAATGATAGCCAATAGCTATTTATGTTCAAATCAACATTGAAAAAACAGTCAACATTTTTTAGCCCAAAGTTAGAAAATACACTGGGGGAAAGTAAGGGGAATGAACAGAGGGGATCATTTGGCTTTGTTCATAAAAACATACTCTTACAACTCTAAGGCTCCACATCATCTGATTATGGGAATTGAGGGCTTTTTATCAAAATAAGAAAAGCCAAGGAATAAGACAAGACTGTCATTTAGAAGTTCCACTTGAAAATTTAAATTTGTATTTTAATTCAAGGCTCAGCATACACAAATTTCATTAACAAACCAGCTCTTCTTAAAATGCAAGCTAGAATAGGTTACATCTGATTTTGATGAACTCTGAGATTTAAAAAATATCAAAATATTAAAGCTGGCACCCAGCACCAAGACAACCTGAAAAACAATTTTAAAACTAAGATGTACCATGGTGAGTCAAAGTTAATAATGAATATTATGGAACTTGAACAAGAATGTTTTGTGAGATTATTTCAGCCATATTTTTTCTTAATTTGAGGTTAAGCTTAATGCAGTTGTATTGCACAGAATCAAAATATATGGTAATAGAAAGAAAAAGGACAAAGGCTAGATAGGGCTAGCCATATGCTTAGAAATATTTAATAAGACATCTGCAAAGATAAACTATGAAGTATATCAAAAGTTTTTCCTTACAAAAATCCCATCCAAAAAATGTTGCTCTTTCTGTAAAACACAGTAATCACAGGAGAGAGACAAACAGACAAAGGAATTTAACCCACTGTTCTACCTTTGGGTGCCCTTAAGACATTCTGGTATGGATATGTCATTAGTATATTAACCATAACAGCAGATGACTGGCTGGAAATGAGGAGACATGACTTTATTTTCTGAGTGCATTTTTATGTATGTTTGCTACTCACTTTCTCTCCTCCCCCGTCTGTTAAGTGGGAACAATGACACTTGTCCCTCTGCCCCCATTTCTAATGGACTGCTGGAATCTCGGGGTATATGGTTAGCAGAGGACTAAAGGAGACTAAAGTTGAAATATGAGTGATAAGTTGATATGGTCACTGTCAGACCTAAAAAGGGTCACCTTCCTTTCCTTTCCCCCATTATTCCTACGTTGCCAATAAAATTATTTGTAGCCCACTAACATTAATGTGTAAAAAAATAAGAGTTTCAACAAAATTGATTTGGTGCTCACTTTAGCAACACATATATTTTAATTAGAACAATACAGAAAAGATTAGCATGGCCTATGCACAAGTATGACACAAATTCATGAAGCGTTTCATATTTAAAACAAAAGTGATTCAGGTATGAGAATTTCTACCTGCAGGAATAAACAGTGATTTATTCATAGCTATTAGTAAGAAAAGAATGTGACAAGTATAATTAATTACTGACAATCTCAAAGATCAAATACCATGATCTCAGGGAAGAAATTTAATTTAAAAAAAAAACTGGCAATGTAGCAGGATACAAAACCAACACATAAAAATATATGGCATATATATATATATATATATATATATATATATATATTTATATATATGGCATATAATTTCAGAGAGGAAGGGAGAGATAGAAACATCAATGATGAGGATGAATCATTTACTGGTGGCTTCCTGCACGCCCCCTACTGGGGATCAAGTCCACAGCCCTAGCATAGACCCTTGACTGGAATGGAACCTGGGACACTTCAGTCCGCAGACCGATGGCTCTATCCACTGAGCCAAGTTGGCTAGAGCTCAATGGCTTTTTTATACACCAACTAGAGGCCTGGTACACTAATTCATGAACAGATGGGGTCCGGCCAGACTGGTTGGGGGCAGCAGGGAGACACAGGAGGTTGGCCAGCCAGTCCCGCCTCCAATCAGGGTGGAGGTAGCTGACTGGGGATGGGAACAGCTGGGAGAGGGGCTATGGGTGGCTGGCAGGCTGGCCCCGGCCCCAATCCAGCTGCGGGGAGGGGCAGCCCCCAAATCGGGCTGGTTGGCTAGCCGCAGTGCACCTCATAGCAACTGGTCATTCCGGCATTCTGGTCGCTTGGCTTTTATATACATAATGAATGCTCAGAAAAAGAAACTAAAACAATCCCATTTACCACTGAAATAAAAATATTAAGATACTTAGGAATAAATTTAACAAAGGAGGCAAAAGGCTGTACTTAGAAAATTACAGGATGTTGAAAAAAGAGGTAGAAGAAGATGTAAATAAGTGGAAGAATATACTGTGTTCATGGATTGGTAGAATCAACATTAAAATGTCCATACTACCCAAGGCAATCTAGAGATTCAATGCAATCCCTATTAAAATACCACTGATATATTTCATAGAGCTATAACAAATACTCCAAAAATTTATATAGAATAATAATAATTAAAAAAAAAAAGACATCAAATAGCTGCAGCAATTTTGAAAAAGTAAAACAAAGCTGGAGGAATCAAGTTATACTGCAAAGCCACCGTAATCAAAACAGCCTGGTACTGGCACAAGAACAGACATAGAGATCAATGGAACAGAACAGAGAACCCAGAAATGGACCGAACCATTATGCTCAATTAATATTTGGCAAAAGAGGCTCTGTTGACTAATGAGTTTGCCGACCACTGTCCAAAGGTATAGGAAACTAAGGAGAATTTTTTAAAAATGGGATTGCATCAAAATAAAGAGCTGCTGCACAGTAAAAGAAACCATCAACAAAACAAAAGGAACCCACTGTATGGGAGAACATATTTGACAATGATACATCTGCTGAAGGGTTAATATCCAAAATATATAAGAATACAACTTAACAAAAAGAAGACAAACAATCCAATTTAAAAATGGACAAAGACCTACAAAAAGGACATACAGATGGCCAAAGACATAAGAAAATATGCTCAAAGTTACTAGTCATCCAAGAGATGCAAATAAAAACAATGAGGCACCATCTCACACCTGTCAGAATGGCTAGCATCAACAAGTCAACAAATGACAAGTACTAGTGAGGATGTGGAGAAAAGGGAACCCTAGTACACTGCTGGTGAGAATGCAGACTGGTGCAACCATTATGGAAAACAGTATGGAGTTTCTTCAAAAAATTAAATATGGATCTACAATTTAACCCAGTGATCCCACTTCTAGGAATGTATCTTAAGAAACATGAAGCACCAATCACAAAGAATATATGCAATCCTATGTTCATGGCAGGACAATTTACAATAACTAAGATCTGGAAATAGCCCAAGTGCCCATTAGTAGATGAGTGGATAAAAAAAGATGTGGTACATTAATACCATGGAATACTATGCAGCAGTAAAAAAAAGAATATCTTACCCTTTGGAGGGGTCTGGAGAATATCATGCTAAGTGAAATAATCCAGTCAGAGAAAGACAAGTATCACATGATCACACTCATATGTGAAATCTAAGTAACAAAATAAACTGATGGAGGGGATGCAGAGATATGGAAGCATGGAACAGAGTACGGAATCTCAGAGGGAAGGGGGTGGGGCTAGTCAACCAACGACCTTGTATACATATATGCATAGCCCATGAACACACACAGTTGGGTGCTGAAGGCCTGGGGCGAGAGGCAGGGGAGGGTAGGGGCAGGGGAGGGTGTTAAAGGGGGGGAAAGGGAGACATATGTAATACTTTCAACAATAAATTTTTTTTTTTTTAATTTTAAGTGGGGTTGGGGAACCCACCACTTCAATTAAAAAAACAACAACTGACCTCCTAATTAATGTTTTAATCAAGAAAGTCTCAGTATATTCCTTAGGCACTCCAAGAAAATTTCTCTATATAAACCCAGTGAAGTTTGTCATTGTTTCTAGCCATGTGTTTTGTTTGTTTGTTTGTTTTAATATTTCTAATAGATTATTTCTTAAAAAAAAAAAATCTATTATCAGAAACCCAATTTGGTGAATAACATGATTAGCAATTTGACCATGGTTGGTCTACCTGGCCCACACATGGCTGATGGGCTCTGCATAAGCTAAATATGGGATAAGAGTTTCTGGGAGCTTTACGCAAAGACTAAGTAGCTCAATATTAGAATAGAATGGTTATATATGCCTGCATTCCTAAATGAGTACCCTCTCCTTCAGTTTCAAAGAACGTAAGTTTCTAGTTTGCCTAATGTTACCTATTTCATCCTAAAAGTTTAATTTAAAAAAAAAAGAAAAGAAAAAAAAGGCAGGGAACGCTAATACTACCGTATTTCCCTGAAAATAAAACATCCTCCAAAAATAAGACCTACTTACAGGTTTCCTTCTGAGTGAAATAGAAGGCATCCCTCCAAAAATAAGGCCCCCTCCTAGACTCTGTCTCAGAATGAAAATTAATTTCACAAGAAATTCACCAGGAAATTCAGGAATTGGATTGTTATGATGATGTTCCAGAAGATGATGATATGATTGTCATTGAATAAATGAGTAAATTCTTGATACTGTAGGATTCAGTTTGTCTGGTTTGTGTGGACAACTACTGTACTACCGTACCGTATACAGGTAATAAATTTCCTTTATTTTCATTTAACAATAAATGTGTACCATATTCTTCTTCATGGAAAAATAAGACATCCCCTGAAAATAAGACCTAGCGCATCTTTGGGAGCAAAAATTAACATAAGATACTGTCTTATTTTCGGGGAAACAGGGTATAACACCCCCTCCCCCCAACACACACACTTTCCTTCTCTTCCCCTCAACAGAGAACAAAAGCTTAGAAAGGAGCTTTACTGGTTTGCCTGGGTATTTTCTCAGATGACAGCCTTGTATACCACCTTTACATTTTTCTCAGCTCTAAATGTCCTATCAGTTATAATAAGCTTAGGTATTTTCAGCTCTGGCCACAGACACATGCCAGAATATGGCTTTTGATGTATTCCACCATGGCATTACTATACCAGGTCCAGTTACATGGCTGATATAGCACAGAACTACAATGAACTGAAATACAATGAATCAAATATGGCACCTAGGCACCAAATTCCGGGATCTCAGAATGAGCATGTAAACTATTCCTCTTTCTTTCAGAGGAAGGGGTGGGGGAGGAGAGACAAAAAAAAGTCCATGATTAAGAACATTTAGAAAGCCAATATTAAAAGGTTTCTGGCATAAATTGAAGCATATAGCTGAGATATTCCAATCCCTTTGAGACAATAGGTTTCTTTTTTTATTTTTTTGTTAGCCCTCACTAGAGGATATTTTTTCCCATTGATTTTTAGAGAGAGTGGAAGGGAGGAAGGGGGGAGGGAGAGAAAGAGAGAGAGACATTGATGTGAGAAAGACACATCCATTGGCTGCCTCCCACAAACTCCTACTGGGGCTGGGATGGAACCTGCAATCCAGGTATATGCCCTTGACTGGGAATCAAATCTGAGACTCTTCAATAAGTGGGTCAACACTGTAACCACTGAGACACACTGGCCAGGGCAGGTTTCTTTTTTCTTAAATAAAGATAGTCACTGCCCTGGCCAGTGTGGCTCAGTTGGCTGGGTGCTGTCCCATTCACCGAAAAGTTGCCAGTTTAATTCCCAGTCAGGGCACATGCACAGGTTTCGGGCTCAATCCCTGGAAGGAAGAGTACATGAGGCAGCCGACTGATGTTTCATTCTCTCTCTCCCTTCCTCTCTAAAATTCAATAAAAGTATTTTTTTAAAGATAGTAATCAACTTGTTAAATAGCTGCTATGCATAATAAGTTGGGAAGTTCTCAAAAGCACAAACAGGTATATATTAGTAAAGCAAATAGGTATACAAACTAAATATATGAAAGGTCATAAAATAAGACTATAATTTTGAATTTACTAATAATTCAGAAAAAATTTTAAAAACTAAACTGAGGGGATATTTAAGAAGGATTTTCAAATGCTTAGTTAACTGTTAAAATTGGGCTAAGGTTTATGAAAAGCCTAAGAATTCTTGGTTTCTATGTTAATTTTTAAAAAACAAGTTTTCTAAAGGGCTCAGCTCCTCTTTGCCTTAAGATAATGGGTTAAACATAACATGGAATCCTTGTTTACAGAAGATTCTACAACATCTTATGTTCACCAACTGGTGCTGGATTTTTGACATAATGTGGCAAGTGTGAGTTTGTTTTAATATTAAAAAAGTTTCTCGTCAATTTAGCCAGAATACAGAGCAAAAAACATAAAACCTTTAAAAGACAATGGTTAACTTAAATAAACATATGTAAAATATTTGGCAAAGTTAATTTATTTAAAAAGGAAAAATGCCTTAAAAATATTTAAGAAAATGACAAATTTTAGGAGTGGGGTGTGAAATGAACAAATGAACTGCAGTCTGCAGA